AAAATAATTATGTTAATGTGCTGACCGGTTATTTTAAAATAGACTTGCTTTCATAGTTCTAAATTAAGAAGGATTATTTTGTGATTAAAAGTCAGCAGTCAACTGAGTAAAGTGGGAAAACTCCTCAGATTTCATCCACTACATACTATCCAAGTAACAGCTTGGAGTGGGGGAGAAAGATATTAACAATAATCTAAGAAACTAATTGTAGACTTCTGCTCTGACTAAATGAAGTTTACAAAACTCCAGAAGAGGGGAATGGTGCGTTTGCAGACCACTCAGCAGTAAATATCTCTGCTAAGTGAACCTCTAAATCTTGCAGAGCATTGCCATGGTAATACCAATAATATAAACTTAGCTCAAAAAGCCTTAAGAAAGGCTAAAAAATTAAAAATGCTTGCCACAACAGCCATATTAAAGACATTTTTCAGTTTCATTGACAATTTTATTATCTAGAAAACGTACTCAAAGCTCTGAAAAAAAGGTTATAAAAGTTACAATTCTGAGAAAGGTACTTTGAAAAGCCTTACCTAATAACAAGCACTACAAATGTTAATGCAGTCAAGAATTTTAACCTGAGATCTGAAAAAAATTGAGAAAAGTTGTTATTAGTGAATTTACACCCACATCTAGGAGAAATAAGCCTGTTTGGGGAAGAATCAAAAAAAATATTCCTTACCAACATAAGGCATGTTTCGAAGTTCTGAGCATGCCCTCACTATCAGGAACAAAAGGTAGAGAACGTATGTGGTTGCCACTACAAGGAAGAAGATCTTCATTCCCTATAAGAAAAGTGTTAGGTTTTATTATTTAATGAAATTTGGTCTATTCCTCCTTCCCTCAGTAGAAATCATTATTTCCCAAAGCACAACATAGAACGGTCCATTTATGCAGGAAAAGCTGGCTCATGAAATGAGGATGGTGATACATCCAGGTCGAATTTTAGGGAATGTAAAGGACATTTCATAGAAACCAGCATTTTTCACCAAATTCACAGTGAGCTGAATCACCATGATTTTCTAAAAACACGGCTTGTTCACAAGAACAATACAAGGATTCCCATACATCAGATCTTCCTTTACAACAAGAAAGCCTGAAATTTAGCAGGACAGTCAACCTTGGCGGGAGTAAAGATCTACAAAGCTGACTTAATAAGAGGCTTCAAAATTTTCCTTTCAATTTCAACAGTCATGAGTCTTGTGGTGTTGAGTCTCCAGATCTGCAGGGCAAATTAACCTTCTCAATATGGAGCTCAATATGGTCTATGCATCTATCTAATGCAAAATTAAAAATACTCTAGTCAGAGTAAGACCATTTGACCAGCATTTTCTCTTTTCTAAATTGTGTTATAGATTTTTATAGAAGAACAAACCCCATCTCCTTGTATTGCCTAACTCTACCTGACAATTTAATAGCAAGAAAACATTTTTGACTTACCTGAAAATTGCCTGTGTCAACCCTGTATTGATATGTAGGATCATGTACTTCATTAACGCTAGAAAATATTCAAAATTAAAAACTGGTATGTGCACCATTCCAGACAAGGTCAAAAAGACATACTGACCAAGAAACCCACCCAAAAGAAAAGGTTTAGAGTTACCATAAAGGTTTTCGCCATATAAATTGGTGCAATGCCATTAATTCAAATGCAGTCGTGACAATTTACTGTATATAACATTCTCGTTTCCTAACCCAATTTGGAAGAAATATGGAGGATTTAAATTGTAATCATGTCTAATCTCCCCATTTGTTTTTTAGAAAATGCATTTCTCTACCACTAGTTATAAACAACCTTCTCATTCTTGAACACTCTCAGTTCATACTTCTGCACTAAATTTTAAATTACTTACGTTTGCCATATTCCCAGTGTAACAGAGGCCAGCCACAATAGTCCAACAATAAAGAATTTGGGCAGATAGAAAGTTAAGCACTTCCTTTCCCCCTGTAGAGAAAACAATACTGTGGTGAAGAAGTGAACTACATTTAAGATTTTATTCATTCTTGACAAAATAAAATAACTGTCTTCTTTGTTTCACTCAACATGAACTAGATTAAAACACTCATCTTCTGCATTTTTATCCTGCACAGGTGATTTAGAGAAGACATAAAATTGTATCATCACTTGTGTTAATAAGATGCAGTAGAGTTGAAGCATCCTATTTATAAGGTCCCATATATTTCACTGATAATGCAAATAAAGGAACATGCTCCAGAATTCATATTTCTCTTAAGCAGAATTTTAAACTAGTTTAAAAACCCAATCAACTACCATATAGAATAACAAAACCCTTCAAGCAAGAAAAAGCATAATGGCATCATGATTATGAAGACTGTCCCACCTATTTCATTTAGACTTGGTGGAATCAAGATAATCTACTTCACCATAAATCATTTTAACTACAAAGCTTCATATGTCACATTGTACTTTATGAGTAAAATAAACGTCTCTCTTTAAAATATTTCATTTTTGTCACCTTTTGAGAGAAATGAAAAAAAAACAAGTACTGTCTTCTCATTTAGTAGTAGATACTGGTGCACCCTTACCTGTACTCTTATACCATGGTAGACACAAAGCCAGAACAACAACAACGCACACAGAAACAGTGACTGGAATAGATCATCCAGCATTCCAGGAAACCAGCTGTTGACCAGAAAAGAAAGGGGGAAAAATGGATCTGTAAAATAAATAAGAAAAAAAAAAAAGTTAAACAGAGAGAAGAAAACCTTTCATTATAAAAAGTAAAGCAGAACGTATCTTCAGAGGAACAAAAAGCCTTAGATTTTTCAAATTACACCAGTAAACGAAGTTCACTTTATCTTAAAGAAATTAATAAAGAAAATGGTGCCTCTAGCAGCAATCCTCTGTGCTGTAGAAATAATCTCAAATGGTTGCCAACATTTATTAGACTTTCTACTAAACCACTGTTAATAGTGATGACCTAAAAATTATCACAAAATGATTAAAATGCAAATATTCTTTTAGTACTGCTAGAAAGTGCTAGAATTTGATGTGTTTTCCTGGACTAAAAGTAGCCTCCATTTTTAACTGAAGTGTGAGTATCTGAAAAATGAAGAAGTAAGACTTAGCAGATGAACAGAAACTGAAAGGTTCAGTATGGTAGGCACCTATTCCAATCAGAGCGTTAAACAAATAGTTGACATTGATGTGACTGAAAAGAATTAAATCCACCTACTCGTTATGCCCTTGAATTTGCTACACTTGAAAAGGGTTGCTAAGATTTTTTTATTTAGTTTTCTGAAGCCTTATAAACAGTTGCTTATAAGTTCAAGGAGGAATTCCATTTTGCCTTTTTCTCTCTCTTTTGTCTTTTTTTCTATTTCTTTTTTAAAAAGGAGCTTTTTGAAAAATTCCAGGATACAAGTACCATTGTAAAGTAGTAAGAGCGGAAGTAGGATGGACATCCATTTCTGTTCAATACCCCAATCTCTCATGGAGAATTTCCGCAGAGAATGTGCAAACAGACACTATAAAACAACAAAAACAACAATTTGTAAGGAAGGGATACAGCCTTAACGGTTTAACCAGAGTTAAGAGCACATTGCAAAGGCTGCTTCATGAGGTCTTTGCCTCTAAGAACACAGTAAAACATGAGCCAGGTCTGTTAGGCTCTCCTTCAGGTTTGCTGGCTGACCCCAATGCAAATTACATAATTTCTCAAGCAAACTGAGAAGTAAACCAGGTAGTATTGTGAAAATCAACAATGTGCGAAAAAAAATGTTGCCTCATTACTGGTCATACACTATCATCAAGTTCCACCTAAACTGACTTTTTAAAAAAGCAGCTTGCATTTTATATTCACAGTTACCTGCTGAGTGACATCATCTATGTGAGAAAAATGTTATGCAAGTGTGCAGTACTTTGGTGTCCCTACTTTGAAAATTCAACATTTTAGATCTTATTTTGTTGGGGTTTTTTTCCCAAATACTTCTTTTCCAGAGCCAAACCAGGTTGGAAAGGAGAGATAATCTAAATCATAGCATAATTTAGATTGTAAGGCATCTCTGGAGGTCATCTGGCTCATCCTCACACTCAAGGCAATGATAACTTTAAAGTTAGATCAAGGTTCATATTGATGTTTTGCTCATTTTCAGACACAAAGAGCCCACACACTGGCCATCCTATTCCAAAGTCTGAGCCTACCTGTACTGCAAAAAAATACTTTTTTCTAGCATCTAATCACAATTACCTCTGTTTAAGCAAAATTCTTTCTGTTTAATCCAAAATCAGAGTTTGGAAAAGCAAGTTTTCCCATTTATCCTATTTTCTTAATGTCCCTTCAATACCACTTGTAAAAACATAAAAGCAGCAACTACATGAGTATTTCATTAACATTTTTTACATCCATTCAGTGATACGTCAACTCAGCTGCCTGGGCTTACACAGCACTACAGAGCAGTGTTATCAGCTGTCTATATAATATACTCCAGAAAAACTGAAACAAAATCTTACCGTGACCATAAAAGTAAGAACTACAAAGACAAATCGGAACCATATTTCCACTTGCGAAAAAGTTGGATTGTAGGTCTTCCACTAGAAGAAAATAAAAGAAAGAGAGCCCAATGAACGATGTTTTGACACGGTACATATGACATTGATAATCAGCACTTTATGCACACACTGGAAAGTTCTCAGGCTTTTTGAAATGTAAAGGTGTAGCCAAATTTCACAAAGACAAATTCGTACCCACAGGACTACCTGATGAAAAGATAAGCAAAGCAGCCTAATAGCCTTGCTTCTCTTTTAACCTTCCACTTTGTAACATACTCATTGCTGTTAAAGTAATTCTCAGGACAAAAAGGATATTTTCTTCATTGATTTAAATTGCATTTTCATTCAAAGTTTTAATACCAATAAATGAGTAAATCCAGTATGTTCTTCTTTATTACCAAGGTCAGTTGCATAAATTGACTATGAAGAGATCAATAAGGTGCAGGGGTGCTTCTCATAAGGGGTTTGTTTTCTTAAAGCTTGCTCACTTGTCTCAGAAGTGGAAAAAAAGAAAATCACATAAAGGAAGAATAAATGAGCTTACTAGAAATACAGAAATCTTTTCATAGGTTGGGGGGAAAGCTCCTTCTCCTCTAATTACTAGAAGGGCACAAACATTCATTATAACATGTCCTTTTGCAAAAAATCTACTCTGTCAACAATTTATCTCATACCTGGCATGCTTCTGTTTTGAAGCCATTTTTGAAATGTAAACTCCCTGGTACAACACATGCTCTGCTCATGTGAACAAGAAGCTTTACCTTTCATTTTAAACTGTAAATGTAGAATGAAAATTATATGTAGAGAACCCTATTATACAAAAGGCAATCTACAATTTCAACTGAGGTCATCATAAACAATTGTAATAATGAAATAAATTGGATAATTTCAGTTGCTGCAGGAAAGTGGGGCTTTAGGTTAGAGGTTTTTTTGGGGTTGCACACAGGTCTGCCTTAAAGGCAGCCTGCAAAGCAAGATAATAAACTGTACAACTACAAATGCCCCAACACTTTGTCCTGTTTGAAATCTGGAACTAAACAAACGGTTTGTGAGCTTAGGGGTTTTTTCCCCTTAGAGTTTATTTTTAATGATTTGCTTTATGCACTAGAATATTACAAATATTAATATTTAGAAAGTTAATTTAGTATATAAAAAACATTTTTGCTTTACAGTAAGATTTTTGCTTGCTACCTGCTCTGACATTCCAAATGCTGTATACAGGTAGAATACAGCATAGTAACATGTATTATAAACTTGGTTTAGTTCCATTTTCTCCCAGTGCAAATTTCTTTCTGGAGCCAATCAACACACACTGATGATGTGTTTTATAAGCAGTCTTTAGAACTATGTACTGAGATAATTATTTCACCAGGGATTATTTTAGTGAATTAGTTTAGTAGCCTGATTATTTTTGCTGAAAATAAACACCATTTTTCCCTTCCTAATAAGCACAATCATTAAAAAAAAAAACAACTTCATTTTTCTTTGAGTTTGTTAAGTCTTTCTAGCCCATGCATTTGTGAAGTCTGGAAAATTTGCTAATTCAGATAAATCTCCTGGAAAAGCTGAAAAAGATACCATGCTTCAGAAAGGCAATATCTCTATAAGCAAATGCAGAAAACTGAATGTTCTAGTCTAGTTTGTCTATTATTAAAAATATCTGCCAGGAATTAAGACTAAATTTATCTGTTACAAAAAACAGCATCAGCAGTTCTGAGAGAAAAATCTTTCCCTATAGAGGTGAAAAAATTGGTCTAGACTCTTATGAACAGTAAATGCTACAATAATTCTGACATCAGTAGTGACAGAAAAATTAATTATAATGCATTTTTATATTTCTCTTCAAAAATCAGACACTTTTTTGTTACAGTCAAAGCACACCTCTACAGCATTAAAGAGACTTGTTTTACTAGTATAAAACTTTATACTTACTGTGAAAGTAATATTCTGGATAGTGTATGTTAACTTGTTTAGATCTTCAAAGCTAACAAATATGTTGTACTGAGTGTAGTTCAGGTAGCCAAGGTGAGCAACAATGATTTCACTGCATTTCTGTGAACACATACAGTAGAGAATAGCATGTTGAAGTCTTCAAATTATTCCAGAATATGCACTGTCAGTATAGGATGGAGAATTTGTTTCTAAATGGTTGAATATTGATGATATTTATTATATGTCTCACCAATCTCAATCAGTCCAATCAAGAGCTTTTTGAAAGATAAAAAGGCAAAACAGAAGAAACTGATAAAGTCAGTCACTGATAAAGTCAATGGTTGAACAATAAACAAGGCTAGCTTTTCACTTTAGCTGGTGAAAGCACCTGCTTGCAGCACCAGGATGGATATGAATAACTGTCAGTCAGACTCTAGGTCATCAGATTGTGAGATGGGGCTATCTTGTACTAACTCATTTTTAAAAGCTAACAGGAGGAAAGAGAAAACCCAAGCATATTGTTTTCTTGGCCTCTATTCAGTATTGCTAAACCTGTTTAAGTGACTGAACAGGACACACTGTTTTGCTGACAAAGAGCAATTCTAACAAGAAAGAAGGGTCTTTAATGGGTAACAGACACAAGTCAGAAGTAAGCAAAAAAACGATGGATAGGAAGATACTTGGTCAGCATTACTAACTATGTTGCCATTATAAATAAAACCATACTCTAGAGTCTTTCCTGAGACATGTTTAACAGATACATTCTTCTTATTTGCAATGTAAAGCAACATGCACAAACAGATTTAAAGAAAGTGCACTTCATCAAAGTTTTGTTTAAGCAAGTACATACTTGTGCACAACTGAGTAATCTTGTTCGATTGTGAACTTGATTATTAACATATGGTGTGCTTCCATCCTTCACCACTCCAAGTACTTTGACTGTCATAGTAACATTCTTTTTGAGGGATACTGTAAATAAAACAGAAAACATCAACCTATTGCTACATTCAGAGATGAAATCCCAAATAGAGTTTCAGATGCAGTTCAAAATGTGTGTTATCCAAATATTACTCAGAGTTATTCATTTATACTTTACTGAAGTAGGGGTACAGTAGGGGTACAGTAATACTTACACAGTAAGTCTCAAGCCCTGTAGTGAATCTTGACAGATTAACAATTACTAATACAGTATTTCTCATACATATAAAGGGAAGCTTTATTGAAAAATTAATATCATTACAGACTACACATCTAATTCCCCCAAAAATGAAGGAGGAAAGACACAGATTATCTGGATATTATTGTGTTCACAGAAATAACAAACAATAATCCCCTATACTTGTTTCTTACAATTCAGTCAGTGCTGTCCATGGCTTTACTGAGGGAGGGGGGTGGAGGGCAAGAAAAAGCATCAGAGGAAAAATCTACCAACCATAGACAAAAAGCAACAGGCTCATCTGTGTGACAGATGAAACTGAAGATACAATAGACAGGTTGCTATAGCAAGTTTTCTATTCTCAAGTTTCCTGAGAATTATGTAAGATTCTCACCATCATGCTGATCCAACTCAACTACGCAGGTCAGCCACAGCTGCTGATTGTAAGTTGACAGCGGTGGAGAACTCAAATTAAATGGCTTCAGCTGTAAAAAAACCCATAAGATTAGCACCAGCCATTACACTAGCCATTACATGGCGTATCTGTAGTTACAATGATGAAAGGCATGTTAATTGTGTCTGTGAAAATGTTTTTGGGAAAAGATTTAATATATGGTACTCTGTGGACAGTATGATAAGCAGCTCAAACAGAAGTCTTTCAGAGGATTAGCTTAAACAGCCCACGTGTTTTGCACAGCACAGAAGCAAGGACAGGTATGACTACCTAAAGCCCATAAGAGCAGCAGCATTAAAGCAGATAAGTTCAGACATGAAAATCAAAATCCTGAGACCTAGCCTGAACATAAGTAATAATTTTTAACACTTCACATCAAAAGTCAGGTTTGCGCCCCTTTATCTGCCACAGTTTTAAACCTGTTCTACTATAATTATGAAAACAAAACTATTTTCCACTAGGCTTTCTAAAAATCCCACATTCCGTTCAAAAGAACGGAAGATATCATTAACAGATAAAACCTACATGCAGGGAAGACTTTTCTTATTTGAAATCAAAATGTGCTTTAAAAAAAAAGAAAATCCACCCATAATATAGTATCAATACAAACAAATATAGGTGACTAATAGATGAAAAACAAAGAAAATTTCAGTGTATTTAAAAAAAATTTCCTTAAAAAAAACCCCAAAACAAAACCTTTTTAGCACTTTCACAAAAAATACTTCAGATATTACGTTGACAGTGAAGAGCTATCTAGAAAAAAATTGCAAGAACTAAGAACCAAAATATGAAAGTTTTAAGAACATGAATGTGAAGGTTCATGTTAGGAAGCCAGATCCCATGTCTTGGTCACGTGACAGTGAACAATTAACAAGAAACAGAAATATTCCTTCCCAGATGGTAGAAAGGAAGATCACAAGAGGGATATCATTAATTGCCACTGAGTGCATCATTTTTCAGTTTATGTTCTCAATTTCTATTTCTGAACCCCCTACAAGAATCTCCAACCTTAATTCACCAGGGGAAAACTCAAATGCTACTTTATCAGAAACTGCTGTGTGGAAACATCCTAGAATTCTCTACCTGGCCTGCTCACAACAGTAACAGACTAGAAATCGCTGCTGGGCCATTCATAAATAACACAGTAGAAGGACAATATTGCATGTTCAGTTTCAAACTGGAAAGCATGGATAAGACGTTTTCCAGTAAAAGTTCAAATACTTAAAATAATTAGGGGGAAGAAAGGTAATGTTTAATATTACTAACATCAAATAAAGCCATTCATATAATCCAACTATACTTAACTCTTACCTTTAGGCTGTTATTTAAGTCTGTTCTTGCTACAGAAGTTTCAATTACATTAGGACCTGCACAATATATAAGAAGGAAAAAAGAAAACAATATTGAAGTATACATATTACTGGTAAGTAATGATGTAAATACAGGTTTTCAAAAGACTGTACGAAGACCCTGCCTGCAAAGCAGGTAAATAGTATCCCACTTTTCAGACGTTTAAATTGAAGGGTAAATCACTTGGACGTTTCAATATAATTTATAAACTTGGCCTGAATGTTTCTTTAAGCAGTTCTGACATAGTATTTCTAGGTATGATTAAATAGGAAGTAAATTATAAATCAAGAATTCCATGTCAGAAGCCCTGAATGTGTACTCTACTACAACAAACCACACGGTATTTATATAAATATATCCCAAGCTTTTCATGGGAGTGCAGTCATGAAAGTACTCAGCTACAGAAAAAGCTGGCTAAGCACCAGTGGCGCTTTTGTTATAGAGACTCAAAGTTTAACAAGGGCTGCAGAAACCACCTGAAAAAACAGCATGTTTAATTGAACTATAAAGTTTGCATGGCCAAATTGTTGCCATTACCTAGTTTAAATGGAGCACAGCATCCGTAACACATTGTACTCAAGGCTTGGGCACCAAGGCAAACACGTCCCATTGTATTTGTCTGCAAGAAGCCAATGCCTTTTTATGCACGTGTAATGTACTTGCCCATACAATCACAGTAACAGTACTTTCTGGATAAAGATGGATTTTCATTGCATTGGTCTGTTCAAGCCAAGATACCCACATTTTGTTTAGCAACAGTTCTCAGTTTACTCAGACTGGGCCCTTCCTTTTCTACAGAAATCTGGGGCTATGATACACGATGAATGTCATCACATAAATAAAGATAACTGCATAGAAGTTGTATAAACAATTTCTCCCAAAGCAGACAATCCATTTAATAGAGTTGCATGTCCAAGTGTAGTGGGAGATGTTCAACTCCATACCAGACCTCTTATGCAACCATTCCTCCAATCATTCTGGATACGGACACGCACGCACTTAACATGTACTGATCCATCCACTCACATCCTACCTCTAGTTCTATATGCAGTAAATGGGAAGCAATCAAATCATAATTTATGTTAGAAGAGACCTCCAGAGATTATCTAGTCCATTCTTGTTTAATTAGGTTGCTCAGGGCTATGTCCAAATAAGTCTTTAACATCTCTAAGGACAGAGACTCTCATAAGCTCTCTGGGAAACCTGTTTCAGTACTTAATCACCCTTATGGTAAGAAAAAATTCCTAATATCTAACTGGAACTTTTTGTGTCCCAGCTTATGTCTGTTGCCTCTCCCCCTATCATCATGCACCTCTGAGAAAAGTCTAGGCCCATCTTCTGTGTATCCTCTGATAAGGCAGTTGTAGAGAGTGCTACAAATTTTCCCTTAGCATTCCTAGGTATGGAAGGACACACGCTACTGGGAAGAAGAAGAATGCACACATGTTTGTACATACACAAAACACGAAAGGACTAAACTAGAAAAGTGAAAGGGAAGAGTAGAAACAGATCTGTGTCTATACACTGGGGTGTGAACAAACACAGAGGAGACGTAAAGCAGGTAAGAACAAAAGCAGGACATACATATTTGTATTTGGTCACCAGATGCTTCCCAATCACAGTAAGATTTCGCTGTCCAAATGGTCTCTCCCTCTATATATCTGGTCTGGCAATTTAATGTAATTTATTAATCCTCACAATATGCTCTTTCAGCCATAAGCTCAGTATTAAAAAAATTATGCAAGAAAAGCAGTTTTTCACAAAGACCATGGACTTCAAAGTTACTACAGAGAAACAATGGAAAAGAAGGAAGTTTATAAATAAGCAACATAGGATCACTCTGTGCAAGAAGTATTTTAGGTTACCTGTCATGACAGTTCTAAACATGTAGTACTGCTTGGGCTCCTACAACCACTCTAATAACAGTATTAACCATCTTACAGACTTTAAATGAAAAAATTATGAATTTCACCCATCATAGTCAAAATTTCATATTAGGACTGCAGTTCAACATCACTAATAGTCACCCACTATAAAGTCAGTTCTGCATCACTGAATTTTTCAGTTCTCAAGTACACATAAACAGGGCAGATTTTTGAAAGGCATTTTTTGTTTTAAAAAGCATAACTCAATTTCAGTAAGTGTTCACGGACGATGTCATCATATGTCAGTAATCAGTTCTTGACAAAACTAAAAAAATTGGCCTTTTTTATAAGTTTTTTTTTTAATTGGAAGATATGAACCAATATTGGGACAGAGAAATCACAGTCACAATTTTTAAGAGCAGCAACCAAACAAATAATGAAGTTCCAGTGCCATTAACTGCTACTTCTGAAGCAAGCAATATATAAAAGCTTTTTTAAGAAACTGACCATAACGATGCTGTGGAGACTAATTTAAATTGTTATTGGGTTTTTTTCAGTCTTGCTCAGTTATCAGAATCACAGCTGAAAGCAAAGAACCACCCTGAGGTGCTGAACAGGAAGACTGCACAGGTACAGAAAAATGAGTTCTGCACCTTGGATCTTCATTACACTTGTCCCACTCCAGAGATAACATAGACCCACTGGGACAAGGGAAAGAAAGTGAGTGCAACTTGGGAAAAAGATCAAACAAGTCTGCATCTGTCTTGGGTTACGAGAACTGAGGAGCAACTGCCACCATAGATTAAACTGCCACCATAGATTAAACTGTCTTGTTTTCTCAGATGAAAAGCAAGACTTCTGCTAGGCTTCCCAAACTGCAGGTAGAGATGTTGAGTATGGGTGGTGGCATATTCAGACAGCATGGAAAATATGGATGTATCTCCCATGCTTTCATTTACTTAGTGGGTTTGGTGAGTTTTTCTCAGACTGCACCCTTTACTGACAGAGCATTCTACTGTTACTGCCCCTCCTTCTATTCACAGGAAGCAAGCAGCTGTCAACAAAAGTCACAAAAAACATCACAGTAAGTGTTCATCAGATCTCCTCCCAAGGTAAACACCATTATTTTAAAAATAATTAAGTTATAATAATAAATGGTGTTCATGCTTTGTCAACAAAACTATCCAGCAAACCAATCTTACAAGGACAAGAATCCCACAGCCATGGCAGTTCCTGAAGGGGATCACAGGCAAGGCCTGGGACCCCAGCAGGGTACAGATGACCAAGTGTTGCTTACAGCAGCCAAGTCCCCCGGGCCAAAGGTAACCACATCATCAGATTGCTCTGCACACAGACACAATGCAACACACCAACACAGCTCTCTCTCAGGTTCTGATATCCATTAAGAATGAAATGCTCAGTTTTCTCTTCCAGGAGCACTGCTTTTTGCCTATCTTACGTAAAACAACTTTCACTTCTCGCAACCTGGCATTATAAATATACAACTACAAATATGGTTCAATTTTATAGCCAAATAGCCAAATTACAATAAATTAGGTAGTTCCATTTTTTGCTCTTGATCATTCATATAAAATGCACTTTTGTAAATGTATTTCTACAGTATTTTAGTGGCCAAATAATGTTCTTCAGCATCCTTAGGCAAGTCACAGGAATATCAGTGGTTAACCTTTATGAACTGAAAGTCTATTTGGACCTTAGGCTGCTACAATAAATCAAACTGCAGCAAAGAAGGTTTTATTTCACAGACAAATTTTATTATTTAATGCTATTATGAAAAATGTACTGCCTACAAGGCACAGATGGGCATAAAAAGCCTAGACAGCTGCCTCCAATTAATCCCCTCTTCTTTCCAAGGCAGGCAGGAGCAGATGACTCCCAGGCCTGAGCAGCCCTTCTCATTCTAAAGGAAATGAAGGACAGGGTGGAGGTAGAAACAATCCAACAAACAGGTCAAAAAGTGTCAGAGAGGGGCACAGGAGAACACACTGGACATGCTTGGTGAAGTGGAAGTAAGCAGTAAAGTGGGGGAAGACGGTAACAACCTTAAGTAATTCTTATATACGGGATGGGTTGCTTAATGAGTACAAGTCCCTCCCTTCCCCTCTCCCTGTCTGTCACTTCTGTATTGACAAAGCTCTCCTGACAGCAGAGTACTAGTATATTAACACTGCTGTGACGGCACACTGACTGATTTTTCAAATATGTTTTATACCTGGAAAAGCTCTCTGGCATAAAATAAACTCCCTAGTGACACTGCATCTTTGTGGATCAAATCTCTGATCTCCAGGATAAGTACTCAGACACTAAGTGCTTAGCCTCTCAGATCACATCAGGACTCCAACAAAGGTCTTTGAAACCAGAGACCAAAGCTCATATATGTTTGACAACTGAAGTTCACATTTTTATACTACTAAAATATTTATTATTTCTGTGGCATTTATTACCCACACATTTAGAAGACTTTACAAACAGTTAGCAGTTTCCTCACAGGAAATCAAGTATTAGCACCACCATTTTACAGACAGAAATACAAAGAAAAACAATTAATGTAGCAGTCTGCTGAAAAATTATGTTACTGGTTTTGAAAATTATGAAACTGATTTTGTTTTATTTTACTGACTCCTCCCTGCAAAGCACTTTTAAATACCAAGTCGTTGTAGGTAGTACTCCTATGAAAAAATGAAATGGAAGAAACACTTCCCCCTCCCTGTCAGGAGTAATGCTTGCTCAGACATCCCAGGGGCACTAAGCTCATTAGCATTTAAATACATGTGTAAATACCACCAGGTTTAGACAAAGCATACAAGAACTGTAATCTTCTAAAAAGACAACGTCCTTACCTGCTATTCCTATGAAGACTGTCAGACCAAAACAAACAAAGAATACTACAAAGACCAGAACAAAATGCCTTTTGGACAGTGTATATAATCGCATCGGTGCCAGCCTACAGGAAGCAAAAGAAAGCATAGAATTAGTTGTCAGTCACATTTCTAAAGGGGTAGAAAATAGACCCCATTCATTTTTCCACAAAGAAAATGAAACCGAATTCTGAGATAACATGTAACACTAAGAAAAAAATATTAATGCTGCTTCACAGAGCAAGGATAACTACTAGGCATTATTAGACATATGTACGTGCACACGTATCCGTGCTCCAAAATGGAAAAATTTTGCAGATTCTTCTTATGCTAGGGCTTTCTATTGTCCTAAGACTTCAGCAAGAGAAAGCATTTCTTAGAGGGATAAAAAGTTGCATTTTAGTTCATACATTAATAATTTAAACATCCCAGACACCATGTCTCCTGTAATGACAGCTTAAGCTAAAGGGACTGACATCACTAACAACTCAGTTATCTGCACGGGATCTTGATGAGTTTTATGCACTCTACATATATACTTCATCCCCTCAGGATCATCCCTAACAAGGAGTAATGCAGAACTCCAGATCTGCTAGATGTGCATGCTCAGGCTTTGAATTCTCATCTGAACTCCACCAAAGCTTGGGAAACAGAAAACTGAACTTAAGTTTATTATTAGACACTTAAATACAAATACACATACAAGCAATGACATCTCTTCCACAACTATTTGGTGCTTATCATTAGGTTAAAGACAAAACAGAGAGGGGAAAAGTACTGAAAAGACCAATTGCATTCTCTTGGAAACGAGTAACTTCTAGTTCTGTTGGCAGGGAAATAAGATCAAATAATTAATCCTACATAACACATCTTCCTTTTTGTTAAATGCGTAATTTCTAAAAAACACAAATCCAGCATTTTCCAAAATAAAGCCAACATTTCGAGTTATGTCAGAACTGAGCCACCACATAACTGATTTTCTAGTGCTGTTCCAGAAGGTTCGATCATAGAAAGCTGTACAGTTTATATGGAAAAGCTGCTAGGACTGGGAGGGTGATGGAATGGTGCTGGTGTTTTTCAATAAAGTTGTATGAGTATCATCCTGGAAAGAAATGAAACCATAAGACTTTAATGGTTGTGCTCCCTTTTGGCTTGGAATAAAACTTCTTTTCACTAGCTGAACAGTGCTCTTACTGGTTCATCACATTAATGAAGAATTGCAGAAAAGGAGCTGAAATCCCTTCCACAAGCCCAGTCTGAACTCTGGGACCAGGTACCATGTGCCTGCATGCATAGCAGCCCTTATAAGTAAGGCAAACAAATCACCAATACAAGGATCTAATAATAACAACCTCTATTTTCTTTAAAAATCATTCTCTCCAAACAAAGCACTACAAAAAAATTACATTATTCCCTTTCTTGTAAAGTTTGAGAGATCCAAACCTTAATTTAACTCACAAAGGAGGTGAGGAAAGGAGGAAAACCCTACAGAAAAAATGAGAACTGCAAGTAAGTAATTGTAAATGTTACAAGTCCTGCACAAACTGGCAGTATGTTTCTTAAATCAGTGTCTTAAAACTTCAGCCTTTATGTACTTAAACCACGTTAAAGCTATTACATCTGTACTAGTACTTAAATAACTAACTAACCAAGGTGTATCTTTCTACCGGTTTCAAGTGTTTCTTCAGTTCCACAGATGACCTGGTATTCCCTATCTACCTAAGTATATCAAGTATTAGATACTATCTTGAGATGCTAAAGTATTAATCTTAACAGGAAAATCCTTGATATATAAAAATTGTGCCTAAAATGCTGACATGCCTAAATTAACTATAAGGGTTCATCTGGATACCAAGTATTTCAAGGCAGAGTACATAGTGAGGATGTCTCAATACACAGAAATTGGGTCTGGATGGGAAAGTCCATGGATCGAGAATAGCTGACAACTGGATGAGTATTGTATGTTTGCAGGGAAGTTCAACATATGCTTGTGCAGTTCTGAACAGCTTACATCTGGGCATCCACTTAACAGCTACAGCTTGATGCAGGATACTTCTGACATTCTGTACGTATTCTCGGTTCTTTTCATAAGCTTCCTAATTTCCAAGTTTTTGCAGACACTTCAAAATGCATAACGTGAACATGAAAAGCAGCTCCCTTTCCATAGTCCTCCCTCTCCAGGAAGGTCACCAGAGTTCCCCCCCCAGCCAACACAGGATTACAACTATTGGCAATTATCACCCTCATTTGCTCATATACCAGAGCACAGATGGGCTCGCGAGCTTTTGAAGAAACACGTTCCAGACATTCTTTATTCCAGCTCCTCTCCAGCTGGTGCAACACCTAGTAGTCAAAATGGGAAGGTGTGCACCTACCTAAGTGATGATGGTACCTAACAAAGACCAGAGACGAGGGAGAGTAGGGACATGCTCTGTGTTTTCCTTTCTTTCATACTGGTACTCCTCAAGTCTCATCTAAGCCACTGACTGAATGTGCTGCTTTACAGGTCAATAAGGCAACATGGATACTTATTATTAAGAGGAAGTGTAAGAACTCAGCCAAATCTTAACTACATTTCTCGTGAGTGCAAACAACAATTTACAGCATTCCTATCAGGTGATGTATGTTTCACTGGCCCTCACTGCAATAACAGAACTTCCTTGTGTGGTTTTGAGTGCCTCATTTCACCTATCACCAGTTGACACACAAAGCAGATTAAACGGTCTTCCCATATGTTCATTGCTAAACATCTGCCTTTTGGAAAGACATTACATAAAGTTTCTGAATACACAGAAGTGCAAGTTGATGATCCTCCACTAACAGCTTCTTTCTCACATCTGATAGGCCCAATAAAGAATACAATGTTTGAAACACACTCATGGGAAAATCAAAAAAAGGTTCCTTACTCTGGAAGCATCTGTTCAAATGAGTAAAGCACTGTGCTTTGCTTTACCAGCAGAAGATGCTCCCTAGCCATGGCAGTCAAAAGCTCAGGACTATCCATCCAAGTGTCTGCAGATCTTTCAGTACCCATTTATATGTGAGATGTAAAGGTGGGTTAAATCTTGTTCTTTGAGTAAAGTTTTGGCTCAAAGTTTTGGCAAAATGTTTCTCAGGCTATTCCTCATCTTCACCTCTCATGCCTGCACAACAAAGTCTTTGGTAAAGGCCATTTTGAAAAACAGAGCCTGTTATACAATAATTTTCACTTCGGACTCTCACTTTACAGAAGGGAAGGCTGTGGCAAAACTGAGATTAAGCAGTACATAGGTACAGAGTTGATATTAAAATCAGAAATAACTCACTTTTATGCACAGCAGTTTTTCTGACATTAGCCTCAGCATCTCTGCCTCCAACTGCTCTTTTCTATTTTAGGCTTACTTCCAAATAAAACCATCAAAACCACTTTGATTTAAATGATTACATATGCTACCTACATTCACAGTACTGGGTCTATCCATACACCCTGCACTTCCTCATGGTTTAAAGACATTGCTCGCTTCGGTGTCCCTCAGAAGACCTTGAATTTCTTCTTGTAGATGTATTCCACAACGTTTAATAGCTAATGAGGCAGCACATGACTACATAAAAAGAGGCATAAAATTAACATTAACAGTATTATACAGAACTGCTATATGACAACTCACAGCTAACCATGGCTATGTTAAAAATATTTGTGCACTGGGTGGGTTTGGGTGTTGTTTTGTTTGGTTTGGTTCTTTTTTTTAGTTCTTGTTTGCTGTATTCATTTAAGTCTGAATAATTAGTTACTGCTATGGCTCTGTTCGTGCAAAGAGTTATCCAGGAAAACAAGTTTTCCTTTTTCCTTTAACAGACAATCTGAGAGTGGAGATACCAGGGGTGGGGGTTGTTGTTCTCCACAGAAAAGAAAAAATCAGAACGTTCCTCTAAAGAGGCGGGTAGTCACTGAGTGGCGAACCACAGCCTCGGAAACATAAATTTAACCCTCGGCGTGCTGATTTCCTTAACGAGAGATAACGTGTACAACCTGAATTCGATTCAGATTGCCCAAAGAGGTTGTGGAGTCTCCCTCACTGGAGACACTCAAGAACCGCCTGGACATAATCCTGTGCCATGTGGGATGACCCTGCTTGAGCAGGGAGGTTGGACCAGGTGTGGTCCCTTCCAACCTGACCCGTTCTGTGATTCTGTGAATGACAACATTCAGGTCTTTACAGGGGGAAGAGCCTAAAGTACCGCACCTGGCCGGAGCAAGGATTTTCTTTTTTTCTCCCCATCCCGAACCCGGACCCGGACCCGGAAAGTACCGCACCTGGCCGGAGCAAGGATTTTCTTTTTTTCTCCCCATCCCGAACCCGGACCCGGACCCGGACCCGGACCCAAACAACCGGGCGCCCCCTCAGGCTCGAGCCCCCCCGCCCCCCTCCCATCCCGATCCCGCGCGCGCTGCTCCTCCCCGCCCGCCACTCACGGCTCCATCCCGGCCCGCGCGCGCACTGCCGGCACCTCCTCCCGGCGCCGCCGCTGCCGTGGCACCACCGCCGGCGGCGCCTCGCGCCCGCTTCCGCGTGCGTCACTGCCCGCCCGCCGCGACCTCGACACGTCACGGCCCCGCCAAGCCCCGGGCCGGGGCCCAAGGGCGGTGCTGCCGCCGGCAGTGGGGGAAGAGGGGGGCGCTACGGCGAGCCCGAAGGGACATCTGCCCGCGCCCCGCCGGGGCCGCGGGAGGGAGGGAGGGAAGGAAGGAAGGAAGGAAGGAAGGAGGAAAGGCGTTAGCTTTGGTGAGCCGTCCTGGAGCGCAGTCAGGCGGCTGGTCCTGCCCTGCCGAGCGCTGCGGGTTCAAAATCACAGTATCACAGAATCAGTTAGGTTGGAAAAGACCCGAGATCATCGAGTCCAACCTATGACGCAACACCACCACGTCAACTAGTGCCACGTCCACCTAAACACGTCCAGGGACGGTGACTCCACCACCTCCTTGGGCAGTCCATTCCCATGTATGATCACCCTTTCTATGAAGAAATTCCTCCTAATATCCAACCTAAACCTTCCCTGGCACAGCTTACTACTATGTCACTATATCCTCTGGTCTTATCGCTGGTTGCCTGGGAGAAGAGACCAACCCCCACCTGGCTACAACCTCCTTTCTGGTAGTTGTAGAGAGTCAGGAGGTCTCCCATGAGCTCCTTTTCTCCAGGCTGCTTATTCACACCCCCAGCTCCTTCAGCTGCTCCTCATAGGACTTGTGCTCCATTCCCTTCACCAGCTCCGTTGTCCATCTCTGGACACACTCCAGCACCTCAATGTCCTTCCTGAAGTGAGAGGCCCAAAACTGAACACAGGATTTGAGGTGTGGCATCACCAATGCCAAGTACAGAGGGGACAATCACTGCCCTGGTCCTGCTGGGCCACACTATTTCTGATACAAGCCAGGATGCCATTGGCCTTCTTGGCCACCTGGGATACACACAGTGCTGGCTCATGTTCAGCCAGCTGTCGACCACCACCTCCAGATCCTTTTCCACAAGGCTGCTTTCCAACCACTCTGCCCCCAGCCTGTAGCGCTGCATGGGGTTGTTGTGGCCAAAGTGCAGGACCCAGCACTTGGCCTTGTTGAACCTCATACCATTGGTTATGAGGTCAAATGTGTCATTGCAGCAGGGTAGCAGTAATATTTTCCACATTTCCAGTGCCCTTTTCAAGCTTGAATTGAATCCAGTTTTAACCTATCCATTTTAGGTGAAAAGACCAATGTGATGTATCCATGCTGTACACATGCATGTTTAGTGCCTGTTAGAGACAGCCATCCAGTTTGCAAATGATTTTGTTTACTAGCTCTTTCAGTGGAATTAAAATGCTGTCGCTGTAGTCACCTGCATGCAGCTTTGTTGTATTCAAGGGATGTGATTGATGTATCATGTTTGCAGAGAATTCGGTCAGCCTGCAAGCACCAGAAATTAAATCCTAGGAGTAAGCGACTGCTTTAAACACACTGCTTAATAAAAATCTCTAGACAACACCTCAAACTACTTTGTTCCTGCACAAATGCTAGGATAAAGTTGGATTTTTGTTCTGATATTCTGTTAAATGTTCTAAGTCTGGGCAACAATGATTGTCAACTGATTCACTGGGTAGCAATGGAGAAGAGTAGGCAGTTTTAGGGATTTAACCAAGCTATATTTTGTACTCATTTTTGATAGCTCTAATATTTGCTCATAGAAAGCCAGCACTGCAGTTACTTAAATGTGGGCAAACCTGGTGTGTAGTCTAGAATTAAATTCAGAGTAACTGCCTGGCTTTGGTGTTTGTCATGTACATAAGGGAGAGCCCCCTTGGGATGACCCCAGACATGTTTAGATAGATCAGTCAATATATAATTTTATAATTATCTCTTCAACAATCAAATACTTCTATTAAAAGCTTACTTAGATGGTAAGATGGGGAACCCCTGGTGGTCTAGTGGTTAGGATGCAGCACTCTCACCGCTGCAGCCCGGGTTCGATTCCCGGTCAGGGAAACTCCCTCAGGCAGATGGAGCTCGTCAGCCCTGTAAGGCCATCCATCTAAGAGAAGGTCACTCTAAAACGAACCTTAGGATTAAAGGGTGGGCTCAGTTCAGCACACACTGTGTCTCACCTAAAAAAAAAAATCCATTGCGCAGGCTTGAAGGGTAAAGACCTTTCCCAAATCTTCGCTCGCGAAGACTGGCCATACTCTATTATTATAGATGGTAAGATGGTTTTATTTCATTTACTTTTTAAAAGTACTTAACTTTAATAATATTAATTTCATTCCATTGCCTTATGGACAGTTATGTCCATTACTGATGACCTGTGGGACCCAGTATGTCTGCTGTGTAACACCACTGAACCTAAAAGAAACATGCTGGAAATTAATTCAGTTGTTGATACTGGATTTATCCCATCACTTAGATCTGTGGTTTACGGCACTGATGATTATTTAGTAATCTCATAAAAAGGCTGTCTTGAAAATATAGAATACCAATTCATGAAGAAAAGGTGTTCATACATTTTAAATCAACAAGAATTTAAACTGTAGGGAAGAAAATAAAGCTTCAGGTAATCAGGACAACTTAACAAGCAGTATATGCTCAGAACCAGTTAGCACTGCTACGCCACACTTTGAAGTCATTAGGTCACAGGGGACTATGACATGCACCGTGTAGCTTTCAGCACACTTTGGGCTTCTCCAACAAGTTCTCCCTGGCCAGAAAATGATGAAATGGTTCCTACAGCATCTGTGACCATTTCCGGTGTTCTGGGAAGCGCAGTTGCAGAGTTATGACTCTCTGAAGTTACGCTGCCATTTATGTGCACACAACTGAGCTGTTTGGATGACTGCTCCAAACCCTCTGGCACTCAGGTGTCTTCACAGATGTGAATTTATTCTCCTCAATACAAAAATACATTCTTCTTATTGAACTGGCAGAAAACTTGAAGCACAGAGAGACTGAGCCTTGCCAAAAGTCACTTGGAGAACAGTGTGGGTGGCATAGCTTGTCATCCAGTTCACTTCAGTTAGCCACGGAACCACATTTCTCTTTGCCATCTACTAGCTTTCAAAGGCTTGTGAATACACTGTAAACATGTATGTTGCACACTATTTTTTTTGTGAAAATTGTATCACTGAGTTTACAATCTATACACTTGAAAGGAAGGCACTGCAAAACACTCTCTCCCCATAGAAGCAGTCAGAGCCTCACTCTACTTTGTTTCTTGCAAGAAGGTGCCACTCAGTGCCTTGTCTGACCTGCTCTGGAATGAAATAGTGCAAGAAGCTACTGTCTGCCTCATCTGTTGTAGGAACTGGGCAGTGTATGATGAATGAGGCTAGCAAGAGGAGGTTGGCTGATCTATGAATAAGCAGGCTCAATGCTAGCTCAGCGGGGATGCTGCTTACACCTTAACACTAACGCTATAGCGGGGATGCTGCTTACACCTTAACACTAACGCTATACCAGTTTATACTTTCATGACTCACACGTACAGCTCCAGGTGACGAAAGGTGAAATCCAGCTTCACTGGAGCTGGAGCTCTTTGATTTTTGCCAGCACAAATGTTAGTGCAGTAGAGTGGTGAATCAAATAATGGAAATTATCTGAGCTCAAAGTCACTCAGAAATCAGTTGCTCAGTCACTGTGCAAATACAGGACTAATTGTGGGCAGATGAGGAAGAGAGCAGAAATGTGTGACCAGGGAAATGAGAGCTAGGATGCTTCTTCCAGCCACAGAGCCAGTTTGTGGGATCTTAAAGCAATCGTGAAGCTACAGTGTTAGTCTCCTCCTTCTGTTTCAAGCCTTCTGGCCACAGCCCTGTAGTTCACATGAGGGTCATTCAGGTTCTTCCCCCAGTTGCCAGGACCCAGCAGGGAGCCTTGGAAGAACAAGAGGGGGTACTAGCTATGGTTCGAAGCAGCCACTGAAGATCATGCCTGGGTCTAGGCTAGAATTTGACTACAGTTCTCCAGCAAGGTCTTGTTGACTCCATGGCTTCTCACAGACTTGCACTTTGAGCACTTGGGAAAGAAATTAAGAAATTCCCATTGAAAAATAACTGCCAGCTGATTGGCCTGGTGTCTTCTGGTAAGCTTTGGTATCTCACTGTTAACATGTTGAACAGATAAAAATGTGTTTTGGTAACATTGGTACTAAGCTCTTTTCTTACCAATAGTCTACTTAAAACAGTCTAGTGCCGTGGGGGAGCCGTCATCTGCCAGCCCTCCGTCAGCTCTCCCTGCCCTGCCATCCCAGCCAGGAAGCATGCTAAGGGAGGAAGAAATATATTGGAGTGGGAGGGAGAGACACCAGACAAATGAACAAACTGTTCATTCAAGTGGCTTATTTGGAGCAATTTCTCAGTGGTGTAAATTAGAACAACCCTAAAGTTGCTGCAATAAATCTGATGTGCTTCATGGCAGTCCCCATGACTGACAGAAGAGTGTAACACTTCTGCCTTCTTGGAGCTTACCTACATCCCGTGGTGTAATACAGGCTAGTCTTCAGTGCACTTGCGTCCAGACCAACCCTGTATTTGGGTTACCAATGAGATTATTTAATATCACACCCATTAGTCTGTAAGTATACAGTCTCTTTGACAAGCACAACATGCAGTACCATGTCTGCTGAAGGGAACTATTAACCTAGACAGATGGCATTCATCAGTGTGCTGAGCCACGGCTAGCCCTGCTTTCTCCATCTCTCCCAGATGACTGAGTAAACTAGCACTTGCTCGTGGGGAAATACACCAGGAGGCACAAGGTAAAGAATATTTTGGGCTGTTGGGAAGAACAAACTCACTGACATAGACAACCTTTCCTCTCTATAGTATGAATGAGACTCCTGGGGCTCTGCTGAGTGAGGTTGACGTAGCCTGGGATGGCTGAGGAGTCTGCCAAGCTTAGCTGTCCCCTGTGCCCAATGAACAGGCTGCTCACAGACAGCTGCTGAGCCACATGTTCAAGAACACTGTGCTCTAAAGGAAAACATCACCAAAAGATGTCACTAAACTGGGACAGC